GACATAGGTTGCCCATACCACCAGAATATGTGACTTTAACCCCCTAGCAGCTTAAGTCCAGGAAGTTAGGCTGTAGCTGTGATTATACTCTTGCTGGGCAGGGAATAGCCCTGACCTGACTATAAGGAAAAATGTGTGTTCTGGAGGTTTGAGCCTAGGGTACACGATATGGTTATAATTTGGGAGGTTGAGCCAACAGGGCTCAGTAGCAACTTGGGTCCCTGGGGATGAGGCGCCATGTAGTGGTGACACTAGACTCTAAGATGGTAGGATTCAGCAGTATCCCAGCCTCTGTGAGGCCAAGTGCAGCAGCATCAAATACACCAGAATGGCTGTTGTTTGAGCCATGGGAAGTAAGAAGCAGCACAATGTGACTCCATTCCTTAGGGATGGCACTATCTCAGCAGCTTAGACTCTAGAGAGTTAGTCCAGCTCCAGGGAAGCAGGGTACTACAATTGTTTGGCCGATAGGGCCCATGGGATATCTCTGCTCAGACACTACTTTGTTTCCCTGGGATGAAGGGCACTATGTTAACTCGGCCACAGAGTGTGCAGTTGCTCAGCTCAGCCAAGACATTGATTCTCCAAGGGTTGATGTGCCACTCTACTTAGGCCTTGGGGACCTGACTGTTCTTAACAGCCCAGGCACCATTTCCCTGCCACACAGGGCTCTGACAAGTACTTTTGCTTTGAGAGGGCAATGCACACTTTCAACTCAGGACCCCAGAGGCATGGCATAGTCAAGTCTGAAAGAGGTAGGTGGCACTGTTCTACCAAAGCACCATATCCCCAGGAAGGGGTGCACAGCTCCGTATCTAGCCCAAGGGTAGGTGAAACAGTTCTATCTGCTGCTTGGATCCACAGGGGAAGATGTAACAGTTGCTTGGTCTGGGAATGTTAGGCCACTCTGTTGGGGTGGTTCCCCAGTAGTTTAGCCATAAGCAATGAAGGGGTGCTGTGGCTACTCACCTCTGGAGTAAGACACTGCAGCACTTGTTCCAGTTCCAAGACGGCATAGCACAGTAGCCACGTAGGCCATGGGGCAGGCACAGCTGGCTCCTTCTCTGAGGGGAGCACAGTCGTATGCCTCTAGGTAGCTACCCCAGCTGGACTTAGGGCCTATGAGGACTGCAGGGGACCCCAATATGTCCAAGATATTGCTGGGGGCTGCTGAGAACCTCTTGCCTACCTTTTCACCATAGGGAGAAGTTCCTCCTGGTTCCTGGCTGTTCTCAGTTGGGGGATGGGGTGGTAGAGTCCTGGTGTTTCCTTTCACTCTCTATGTGGCTATTCCGAGTTTCTGTCCCCAACAGGATTTCTGTTACTCCTCTAATGTATTCTGGTGCTGTCCTTTATTATTTTCATTAAAATATGGTTTTTTATTTGTTATTTTGGCTGTCTTTTTGAAAGGGATGAGTGCTAGTGTTTTCTAGTTGAACATCTTGCTGTCATTTCTCCTTTGAGTGGGTTTTGTCACCCTTTTTCTTCTCTCATTAATGTGCTAATAAAACTTGTATTCATGCTGACTATGTATCTGCATGAGAATTATATTTTTATAATTTTGATAATTATATTTTCACAAAAGAATATAAGAAAGTTCCACGGAAGTGTTGGTTGGGCTGGAGAAACAGGAATTCAGTTTAGCTACCAGTATCGACTTCCAGGATGTTTGTATCTATTCTTATGTTGTTATCAATAGGATTAACAACCTGATTTTCACAATAGTCTCAAGACTAATAAATATATTAATAAATAATGACCAATTCACCACCATGATCAATCAATAATCATACCCAACCAATAATCATCAGAATAATCTTTTCAATCAATTTCTTCACTATGAAAAAACTACCCAAACCTCCAAATATTTTAAATCACATGGTAACACCATTTCAACTACCTTCTAACCACATAGCATGAAAGCAAAGAAAGCTCCATGATCAAACCTAAAGTCCTCTAGATAACCATATGTGAACCCCAGGTTTCAGGATGCTCTTTAGCAGCCATTGTAATAGGATAACTAAATGCTACAAGCAAAGCACTTAAATACCCTAAACATGCTAAAATAGAGCTATTAATCCTAAAAAGTATTCACCAAAATTTGTTACAATAACAGATCCAACCCTATCACTTACAACTAACGCAAGACATTCATAACAGGAGACAGTTTTGAAGAAATGTTTGAAAACCAAAAATAAGGCCAGGCGCAGCGGCTCATGTCTGTAATCCCAGCACTTTGGGAGGCTGAGGCAGATGGATCACCTGAGGTCAGGAGTTTGAGACCAGCCTGGTCAACATGGTAAAACCCTGTCTCTATTAAAAATACAAAAAATTAGCCAGGCATGGTGATGGGTGCCATCACCTGAGTAGTCCCAGCTACTCAGGAGACTGCAGGAGGAGAATCGCTTGAACTCAGGAGGCGGAGGCTGCAATGAGCCAAGATCGCACCACTGCACTCCAGCCTGGGCAGCAGAGTGAAACTCCATCTCAAAAAAAAATAAATAAATAAAATAAAAACCCAAAATAAAGATACTATTTACTAAATTATTAAGTATTAATGTTTCTGAATGTACTTAGAATTATGAAAAAATTAAATTCATGGTTTGCACATGGTAGCTAACCATGATCACTGACATGAGAGAACTGTTGTTGTCTTTCAACAATAACGACCACTAAGTTCCAATAAAGACCACCAAGAAAAATCATCCTTTAATTAAAATTCATCAACCCTGCTATTCCATCAAATATCTCAGGCTGATGAAACTTTGGCTCAATTTTAGGATTAAGTTTAACTCTATAAATCCTAATAAGACTTTTATGAGTCATATATTATATATCAGATAAAATAATAGCTTTTCATCTAGAACACACCTTTGCCAAAATATTAACTATGGCTAACTAATTCAACATATACATCCTAATGGAGCACCTCTAGTTTTTATGTGTCTATGTATAATGAGACATATTGCAGAAGCTGCATATACTCAGAAACCTAGAATATCAGAGTAATCACATTATTTTCATATAAGGAAATAGCATTTATAGGCTATGTACTCCTATAAAGACAAATATTCTGAGCAACTACAGTAATAACAAATCCACTTTAAGCTATTTCTTATATTAATACTATTTAATACAGTGAATATGAAGTGGAGTCTCAGTAGATGATACAGTCTGGATGTGTGTTCCCTCCTAATCTTATGTTGAAATGTGACTTCCAATGTTGGAAGTGAGGCCTAGTAAGAGGTATTTGGGTCATGGGGTCAGATCCCTTATGAATGATTTGGTGCCTTCCACTCAGTAATGAGTTAATTCTCATTCTATTAGTTCATGCAAAAGCTGTATGTTTAAAGGAGCCTGGTACCTCCTTCTCTCTTTCTTGCTCCCTCTCTCGCCATGTGACATGCCTGCTCCCCTTCACCTTCTGCCATGAATAATAGCTTCCTCACCAGAAGCTGAGCAGATGCTGGTATCATGCTTGTAGAGCTTGTAGAACCATGAGCCAAACAAACCTCTTTTCTTTATAAACTACCCAGTCTCAGGTATTACTTTATAGCAACACAAAATGGACTAACACAGTAGATAAGTCCATCGGTACATAATTCTTCACTTTTCCCTATTTTACATGAAACATGATCAAACAGCCCTATGGATTAACATCAAATATAAATAAAATTCCATTTCATTAGTACACAATCAAAAATCCCTTAATATTTCTTTTTCTAATTACAGTACTACCCTATAAGGATGCTATTACCACAGCTGACCCTCATACCATGCTATCTCTTGCTGTCACATATGCTAGCAATATGGATGCCTGCTACATATCTTGTTGATATGTTTATTTTCAAAATCAAAGTCTCAATGAGTATATCTGTTTGGACAGAACCTAGGTCACATGAATTCTTGGCCATAAAATAAGCTGGAAAAAATAGGTTGTTTTGTTTTCTTTAATCTACCTTGTAAAAAGAAGGCTTGACCTTTATGAAATGCAATTCTGACTTTTTACTCATTTAAAAACACTCAGGGATTATTCTAAACTTTGTTATTTAAGCAGTGCCACAATTTCCCATCAATATGTTTTCCAGATTGTTCTCCCAATCTATCCCATCTACTTCCTCTCCCTTCCTTCCTCTCTCCTTTCCTCCATCCTTCCCTCCCTCTCCTTCTTACACACACACACACACACACACACACACACCCTCTTGCTCCAGGATAATCTCTGAAACACATCATCATTATTGCCCTTGCTTCCCCTTAGTAATGATCTTCCCTCACCTCAAATGGTAGCTGTGCATAAAGTATTCCCCAACTTCTTCAAGAGAAACCATTAATTCTTGCCTCAAAATTACACTGCACTCAGCACAACACATGCTTTATATTGTACCACATCCATTATTAGTCTATACATCTCCTTCCAGAATCTCCCATTCACATTCCTCAGACTGAGTTAGAAGACATGCTTGTGTGCTCCTGAAGCAACCTGAAATTAACTCTAGTTTTGCACTTATCACAATGTATTGTAACTGTCTGTTTCTTATAATAGCATGTAAACTCCATTAAGGCTGGATATGTGCTTATTCACCATTATATTCCATGTGCATAGCACTAGTAGGTGCTCAATAAATATTTGTTGAATGGCAAGAAGAAAAAATAAAAAATGTGTCCTAGTCTGCCTCACCCAGGAAAATGTTATGTACATGTTAGGCACACTGTAAAAGCTTATGAAATATTTGGGTATGAAGAAATTATAAGACAATGGTAAGTTTACAAGTTTGTCTTCAGACTTTCTGGTGAATGTAGAAAGCAGCAATTAGAATCACTCCATTAGTGAAGAAGCCCTCCTGCCAATACCATAGTCCTGCTACCAAACTGGAATGAAATCACGTGTATACTTGCCTGTCTTCATCAGTGGCCTTTATCTTCAGTAGTAGCACATGATCTCTTACAAAAAACGAATTCAATGCAGGTTTGTGGACTTTGGGATGACGGTGTCTTACCTCTGGTTTTACAAACCATTTGCCTGCATTCAGTGTCGACAGGAAATCCCAACTGAAGAAGGCAGGGTTCTTGAAGGCAGATTCTGGCTGAACTTCTCTGATATTGGTTGTTCTTCTCAAGTCAAAGTCATGCATGAGGAAAGGCACATGATCATAACTGAGGCAGAGGTAGAAAAGAGGGGCAGGGGTAGACAGGCTGAACTTAGCTACCTTGGTAGACAGGCTCCCCAGAAAGTCCTTCAAGGTCATAAGTGTCACTAGGGCTCCTTACTCCCTCTCAAATCTTAGAAAAGGGCTAAGTATCAGTCATTTACACTTTGATGTCAATATTTTTCTGCTTTAGAGATTGATCAGTCTTTCATGATATATAATCACATTAGTGATGGTGAAAGAATAGCTTCTCTATTCAGGGGCTTTCTGGCATCAGAAAAATAGCAGGTACACTAGTGGCCTGAAAGTAAAGTGAATGAAGGAAGGGATAAGGCAAGGTCCTCAGGTTCCAGGACCATACTAAGCAGGCTATACAGGCTTGGGGAACCTAAAAGGGACCTAGCTGTCTTGCTGAAATGAGAAGAAAGAGATTAGAGTGAGCAGGGAGCCAAGACAGCTAGTATTTGTGGGCTAGAGTCCCATAAAGAATAGAGTTATGCAAAAACAGACACAGTTCCAAGAAAATATGCAAAAGTCCATAAGTGCATGGCCAAATATCAATCTGTATGTGTACAGAGTAAAACTATCAAGGTTTGGCAAGAAAAACTTCTAAGAGAAGAAAAATTACCAGAAAGTTCTAAGACAATCAGAGCTTGCACAGGGGTATGAATCATTCAAGTTCCATCCAGCAAGAGAGGAGAGTCCTCAATGATTACATAGGCATTCTTTAGAGGCTCCAAAAGATCACACCTTAGCAGAACTACAAGGGCTTTAGAGCCACTTTAGATCCTCTAAAAAAGAGCTTAAAAACAAGCCTCCAAAGAAAAGGACAAACTAGTCTGGAAGTAACAACTATCTACAAGAAAATTACCAACATTCTTTAAAGGATACAAGACATAGCACCCAACAATGTAAAACTACAAGTCCAGCATATAATGAAAACTTACTGGAGATGTAAACAAACAGGAAAATGTGACCATATGCAAGAGAAATTACTCAACAGGGACAAACTCAAAAAGTAAATGAGATGACAGGATTCACAGACAAGGGTGTTAAACAATGTAGAACAGAATTATAAAGATGTAAACAAAGTATTAAAGGAAAACATGAACATAATGAAGATATACATACAAGATATAAAAAATGGAAATTTAGAGATAAAATATAATAATTGAAATGAAAATTTCACTGCATGAAATTTAAAACAGATCAGATGTTGCAGGTCATACAAAGAACAATGAATTTGAAAATGTAGCATTAGAATCTAACCAAATGAAAGCATAGAAAGAAAACTGAAACAAAAAAGAATAGGGCATTAGTGACCTGTAAGGCAATGATCAAACAGTATTATATATGTGTAAATGGTGTCCTAATAAAGACAGGAGGTGCAGAAAAAAAAATTCAAAAAGTAAAATTGAAAATTTATTCAAAATTTGATGAAGATTTGAACTGAATCCTGAATTCTTTCCTGGCTAAAACTGTCCAAACTAATGTCACATTTTCTTTCAATTTTTCTGACTTAGACTCAATGGAATTACTACTATCTTTTTCCTGAGGACCTGCAAGTATATCTTGTGATATATAAACTATAGGCAAGAAAAATCTGTCAAAGGCTGGGCAAGGTGGCTCATGCCTGTAATCCCAGCACTTTGGGAGGCCGAGGTGGGCAGATCACCTGCGGTCGGCAGTTCAAGACCAGGCTGACCAACATGGAGAAACCCCATCTCTACTAAAAATACAAAATTAGCCAGGCGTGGTAGTGCATGCCTAAAATCTTAGCTACTCAGGAGGATGAGGCAGGAGAATTGCTTGAACTGGGAGGCAGGGGTTACGGTGAGCCAGGATAGTGGCATTGCACTCCAGCCTGGGCAACAAGAGCAAAACTCTACCTCAAAAAAAAGAAAAAAAAAATCTATCAGATTGTCACTGCCTGTTTCCATGTTAACTGAAGATGCTTTAAGTCTAACATCTATTTTTTCTTTTTAAAACAGAATCTTACTCTGTCACCCAGGCTGGAATGCAGTGATGCCATCTCTGCTCACTGCAACCTCCGCCTCCTGGGTTCAAGCAATTCTCCTGCCTCAGCCTCCCAAGTAGCAAGGATTACAGGCGCTTACCACTAAGCTTAATTTTTGTATTTTTAGTAGAGATGGGGTTTCACCATGTTGGCCAGGCTGGTCTCGAACTCCTGACCTCAGTTATCTGCCCACCTCAGCCTCCCAAAGTGCTGGAATTACAGCCTTGAGCCACCATGCCCGGCCAAATCTAACATCTAGACAGTTCAACTGACTGCCCTCCAGACTCTCATGAAACTGGTTTATCAATTTCTCCAAACATTAATATTTGTTTTTCTTCCATTTGAAAGCTCATTTGCAATACTATCTCCTTAAATGAGACATAACTGTTTAATGAGACTGGCCTATTCCCAGAAGTAGGAAACTGGTTTACGGGGATCCTTTACTACTCAGCTATTAACTCAATTTTCCCATTAACTCAGATTTTAGTGTATGAAACCTCTAGGGAAGCTTCAGATGAGGATGTTGGGGCTCAGCAACCTATACCCAAAGTGTGGTATGCTGAAATGACGAAGGCTGCTAGGCATAATAGTTTAAGCTCTTTGGCCCAGGCAGTTCTAAATAATTAAATTATATTAGATTTCCTTTTGGCAAAACAAGTGGGTTATCTGTGCAATAGCTAATACCACTTGTTGTGAATAGAAAAAATTTCCAAACAAGCTACATGGTTATGAGAGGTGTGTACCACAGATTCTTAGATGATGTCTTTAGCTGGCTTCCTAAGGGAATGGGAAACTGATTTTAGTTACCCTTACAAACTCTTATCATCATTATCATCTTGCTCTTCTTTCCATTCCCAACAGACAACAGGGACTAGTAACAAAAGCACTTTTTTGTTGTGCAGGATCAGAAGCCTATACCTGGCACTCAAGAACATTTACAGGCTACTACAAAGCAGTTTCATTCCTCAAATCCTAATTATGGCCCCCCTGACCCTTGTCAGCAGGAAGCAGCCAAAGCAGTCATGGCTCAATTCCTCCTTAATGATCACACTTCAGGACTGAGGGATAAACAAGGTAAAGGGGTACGGAAGTCAAATCATCCTCACAGGGTTAACATGAATTCTGGACAGAAATATAGCTATAATTATGTATTAATCAGGCTACACTTTGAACCATTTCCTTGTATAGGACAGTCACTTGACATTGACCATTTGCATCCCCACTGTTTCTATAGATAGGATTTTTGAAATCAGAATCACAGGCTTCTGTTTAAGAACTGCTTAAGATGTTTTTCAGATCCCATATTCCAGCTGATGTGGACCAGTTTGAAGACCCCCACAGAGGAACAGAATCAGCATGAGAATACAGTTTCTTCATCTCCCTGTCCCTTGACTTCACCCTGCACTCTTTGACCAATCAACAATCTCTATACTTCAGCCCACTCCAAAACCATTAAAAACTCTAGCCCCAAACTCCTCAGGGAGATGGATTTGAGGCTTCCTCCTATTTCTTCATTTGGTGAACCTATCATTAAACCTCTTTCCCTGCCACAAAAAGAAAAAAAAAGTAGCTGGGGTCAGGGGTGGGCATATGTAGAGGCGAATACAGATAAGCATTCAGAAGATTTCTCATCAAAACATAAGATAGAAAACTATGAAATAACATATTTTTACATGCTTGAAGAAAACTGTCACTTAGAATTCTATATGCAGCAAAAATATTCTTCAAAAATGAAGGGAAAATTAAAATATTTCATATAAACAAAAAGAATAATTCATTTCCAGCATACCTTTCCTGTAAAGAAAAAATATTTAAATAATTATTTGGCAAAAAGGAAATTGATACAATTTGAAACTTGGATCTACACAAAAGAATAAATAGTGCCAGTAAATATAAAAAGTTTTTCTCATTTTTTAAGAACAGAATTAACTGTTTAAAGCAAAAATTAATAGCAACATATAATGGGGTTCATGATTGCACCAGGTCATACTATGGGAGAGGTGAAATGTTAGTGTACTGTTAAAAGACATATGCTTTACACAAAAATGTGCAACACTCAAAGGGATAAATAAGTTAAAGATCATATTGTAAACTCTAGCTCAACCACTAAAAAAAAGAGAAAGGGATAGCTAATAATCCATTAGTAGAGATAAAGTTCTAAAAAATGCTCCATTAGTCCAAAAGGAGGTAGGAAAGGAGAAAACAAATAACAAAATGACAGTGCATTTGCCATGGGCCTAAAATTTAAAGGGGTGCCAAAAACTAATAAGCAAGATAAATACTATTTTAATGCAATATTTAAAAAAATCAAAACCAATGCAAAAATCCACTATAAACAAAATATTAAGTTTTAAATGAAGATAAGATAGTATACTAATTTTTCCTTTTGCCTCAGGCTCTTATATGGCTTGGCATGGCACATCTTCATTGAAATTTTTGACATTTTGTTCATCATGGATGCTAAAGGTAGGCAATACCGAGAGAAATTAGTTATCACACACATGCTTGTTAGGTGTGACATTTACATTTATTTCCCTTAAAAAGTTAGGCGGAGACTGAGTTAGCAGAGAGGGAATAGGAGCAATAAGCACACACAAGCTTATTGGGCTCTTTCAATCTTTCTCCAACTCAGCCTCCATGGACTTCCGGTGACTGTTGGCAAGATTTCTCCTGTCGGCCCACACAAGGAAGTCAACATTTCTTCAGGATCTGTGTGTTTCTGCAATCCCCAGAAAACTCAGTTCAGTGTTCTCCAGAGAGGTATATGGCTGACTAGGCTTTTATACTAAAAATTTTATTAGAGGACTGGGAATAACAGCAGCTGAAAGGTTTGCACAGATCTTCTCAGAACCTCCCATAGGCTTTCTCTCAGATGGAAACAACTTGTTTACATTACTTGCTTTTGAGGTTTAAAAAATACCTCCACCTTTTCAAATGTTTCTCAACACGTTCAAATGAAGGTTTCATATAAACCTGTTTCACATTTAAGAACAACATGGCTGCAATTTATCAAATGGGATGAGCACTATCAAATTCACTTTGGGGTGAACTTGTGGTAGGGATCAGACATCCTATACAACTATTTTATCACAAATCTCAAAAATTCCAACATTTTAAGGGCAAGAAGGGAAGGAGGAGCCAGCAAAAGAAGTCACATAGGAAATAGCCAAGTAGGAAGAAAATCAGGAGATTATGGTATTCTAATAGCCAAATGAAAACAGTGTTTCAAAAATGAAGGAATACTCAAATGCTGAGAGGTTAAGATGAAAACTGAAAATTTACTATGATGTTTAGGCAGTTTGAGGTCCCTGATAACTTAGTAAGAGCTCTGAGAAGTGATATGGAAGAAGCCTGATTGGGATAGGCTCAAAAATTATTCAAAGTTATCTAAAACAAGTGGGAGAATTGAGAGAAGACAAAGAAAGGCAATGTTTGGGCTCAGGACACTCACCCTAAAATATGACTACAGGAGATCAGAATATGCCACCCCAATATATACCTCTTTGGTATATTGATTATTTTGAGTTGGTTGTTTTGAGAAACTGCAGACAGAAGAGAAGCACTGAAAAGTTGCCCTTTTGTAAAGGAAATTTATATTTATAAAGGCAATTTTCATTAGTAAAAGTATCTGTACCAAGAAGAGAGCTGCCCTGAAACCATTTTATTACTAAGAGACTTACATCTGTATAATAAGGCAACCTTTATTCACCATACATTTTATTCCCTCATCTGCCCACAATTTGTCACTGCTTCCCCAAGTCCCTATTCCTTTCTGTGGCTCAGAAAACTATACCACCTTCAATCATCTGGCCTTTTCCTTGAGTCTCAAGTTTTTGGGGGACTCCCATGTGTACATATATAATTAAAATTATTTTTCTCCTGTTAATCTGTCTTATGTCAATTTACTTTGTAGACCAGCCAAAGAACCTAGAACGGTAGAGACTAACAAGAGATGTTGATCCTCTATAGCAGTACGAACCACTCTTTGGAGGAATGTTGCTTAAAAGAAAGTGAAGAGATGAGGCATAAACTGGAGCAGGATATAGGGTCTAGAAAAGTTTTAAAATGTCAGAATGGATCATCTTCTGAGTTTAGAATGACTATATAATTTTTTTAAGAAGCTAATGGGATTCTTTTCTTTAAATTCTATTTTTGAGGACTGTAGATCACATAGGTTTGTAAGAAATAATACAGAGGCCAGGCACAGTAGCTCACACCTGTAATCCGAGCACTTTGGGAGGCTGAGGCGAGTGGATCACCTGAGGTCAGGAGTTCAAAACCAATATGTGAAACGACCCCACCCCATCTTTACTCCAAAAAAAAAAAATAGCTGGGCATGATGGTGGGCGCCTGTAATCCCAGCTACTTAGGAGGCTGAGGCAAGAGAAATGCTTGAATCCAGCAGGTGGAGGTTGCAGTGAGCTGCGATCGTGCCATTGCACTCCAGTCTGGGCAACAAGAGAGAAAAGAAAAAAGAAAAGAAAGGAAAGAAGGAAGGAAGGAAAGAAAGGAAGGAAAGAGAAAAAGAGAGAGAAACAGAGAGAGAGAAGAAAGGAAGAGAGGAAGGGAGGAAGGAAGGAAGAAAGGAAAAGGAATAATATAGAGAAATCCTATATACTCTTGGCCCAGTTTCTCCCAATAGTAACATTTTGCGTGACTATACCGTACTATCACAACAAGAAAATTGACATTGATAAAATCAATGACCTCATTCAGATTGTATTCATTTTACATGAAATTATTTGTGTATTTAATTATGTGTTAATTTTATCACATGTGCAGACACATCACCATCACCACAGTCAAGATACAGAACAGTAAACATACAAAAAGAGTTTTGTGTTACCTTTTAAAGTGGGAGCCACCTCTCTCCCTTCTTCACCCCTGGAAACCCTTGATTTTTTTTCCCATAACTCTAACGTTGTTATTTTAATGTGATATTCAAATGGAATCATACAGTATATAACCTTCTGAGACTTGCTTTATTCACTCAACGTAATTCCCAGGAAGTTCATCCAAATAGCGACATCTTTCAACTGTTCATTCCTTTTTATTGCTGGGTAATATTCCACAGTATGGATGAATAGCTTATTTATTTATTATTTTTGATTGCATTTTAGGTTTTGGGGTACATGTGAAGAACATGCAAGATTGCAGCATAGGTACACACATGGCGGCGTGATTTGCTGCCTTCCTCCCCTTCACCTATATCTGGCATTTCTCCCCATGCTATCTCTCCCCAACTCCCCTTTTTAATCATTAAACTTCTTAAAGGAGATTTGGGTTGTTTCTAGATTTGAGCTGTTACAAATAAAACAGCTATGAAAACTGATGTGAAGTTTTTTTCTACATGAACATTAAGTCTTCCTTTCTCTGGAATAAAGGCCCAGGAGTGCAATTTCTGGGGTGTATGGTAAGGATATATAGTCATGTGCCACATAACAACAGTTCAGTCAACAATGGACCCCATATATGACAATGGACCCCATAAGATTATAATGGAGCTGAAAATTTCCTATCACCTAGTGACTTCATATCCATCATAATACTGTAGCACAATGCATTACTTGTGTCTTTATGCTGCTACTGGTGTAAACAAGCCTGTACAGCCAATCACATACAAAAACAAATCTGTAGCACATACAACTACAGATAGTATATAATGCCTGATGATGACAATAAACAATTGTTGCTGGTTTATATGTTTACTACACTATACTTTTTATTGTTATTTTAGAGTATACACATTATATTATATATTAAAAAATTAAAGGTAAAACAGCCGCAGGTAGTCCTTCAGGAGGTATTCTAGAAGAAGGCATTGTTATCATAGGAGATGACAGCTCCATGCATGTTATTGTCCCTGAAGACATTGCAGTAGGACAAGATGTGAAGGTGGAAGACAGTGATATTAATGATCCTGACCCTGTGTAAGCCTAGGCTAATGTGTGTGCTTGTGTCTAGTTTCTAACAAAAAAGTTTAAAAAGTAAAAAGATAAAAAAATAAAATAGAAAATAGCTTACAGAATAAGGATATAAAGAAAGAAAATATTTTTGTACAGTTGTACAGTGTATTTATGCTTACACTGTTATACAAAAGAGTCAAAAAGTTACAATAAGCTGGGTTTAATTTATTGTTGAAGAAAAATTTTTAATGAATTTAGTGCAGTTTAAGTGTACAGTGTTTATGAAGTCTTCAGTAGTAAACATAATGTCCTAGACCTTCACATTCACTCACCAGTCACTCACTGACTCACCCAGAGCAACTTCCAGTCCTGCAAGCTCCAGATTCATGGTAATTGCCCTATACAGGTGTACCATGTTTTATATCGTTATTTTCACTGTACTTTTTCTATGTTTGGATATGTTTAGATACAAATACCTACCATTGTTCTATAATTGCCTACAGTATTCAGTACAGTAGCATGCTGCACAGGTTTGCAGCCTAAGAGTTAACAGGTCATACCATATAGCCTAGGTGGGCAGTAGGCTATGCCATCTAGGTTTGTGTAAGTTCACTCTACAATGTTCACACAATGATGAAATTGCCTAACAAGGCATTTCTCAGAACGTATCCTCATCATTAAGTGAGATATGACTGTATTTAGTTTTGTAAGTAACTGCCAAACCTTCTTGGAGTAGCTATACAATTTTATGCTTCCACCAGCAACATATGAGTGATTCAGTTTGTCTGCCAGCATTTAGTGTTCTTGTTATTTTTGTAATTTAGCCATTTTGATAGGTGAGTAGCGTTAGTTTTAATTTGCAGTGTCTTAAAGGCTAATGCAGTTGAACATCTTCTCATGTATTTGTTATCCGTATATTCTCTTCAGTGAAGTATCTACACATGTATTTTGCCCATTTTCTAACTGGACTGTCTGGTTTGTTTTTGTTTCCATTTTACTGTTAAGTTTTGAAGGTTTATATATCCTAGACACAAGTCTTTTGCCAAATATGTGTTTTACAAATGTTGTCTCCCAGTTTGACACTTGTCTTTTCATTCTCCTCATAAGGTCTTGCACAGAGCATAAACTTTTCAGAATGAATTACCTGGAAATTTCTCCTTCCCCATCTGTTTGGTAAAATAGTATTTTTTCCTTCAAGGCTCAACCCAAACACAACTTTGAGAATATTAGATATTTTTTCTTTTTTTCACACAATTGGAGGTGACCTTTTCCTCCACTGAGGTTCATTATACTTATTTTTCTCTGGAAGGTTCTTGCCACAATAGCTTTATTCTGTAGTTATCTGTAAACATTCCAATTCTTCCTAGTTGGAACATCTTTTAGGCATGACTATATCTTATTCATTTGCATCTCCCAAGTACTCAGAAGAAAGCGGGGAATATAATAAGTGCCCAGGGATATTAAATAAATTGATAAGGTAGTATATAAAGTTGTAAGCATAGTCTGCAATGGGCCATATTTGAATTATGTGTGAAGACTGTATCGAGTGTATCTGATTTGTAACCCTGTCATTGAAAACATGGAGGTGCAGAGGTGTGGTTTATGAGATGTGATTCATCTGTGTGGTATGTGCATATATGCCTTATGAACACAGGAGAAACTTCCCAGGGCTTACTCTCTCTATACCTCAGACCAGGCTGGTTTTCTTCCATGGCACTGAATTTTCCCCTTCTTCCCCCCACCCCAGTTCCCTGCTTTCTTACCTTAAGAATATATCAGTCTCCAGTCCATGGGCTCCATGTTCAACAGCTTTCTCAAAGGACATCATGGTATTCTCAGGCCCCAACTGTAGAAGAAAAGGACATCAGGCCCTAAGCCTCAGAGTCTCTCCTCTTAGCATTCCTTTTATGGTAGGGGTAGAGCCCAGTAGGACTTTGGGGAGCAGAGCTTGGCTCCTTCAGCTCTCCTTTCAAAACCTGTATACCCTCTCTCCAAGCTGATGCTGGGACTCTGTGCATCTATGGCAATGTCAATGGGCTCAGTAAAGAAAAATGGACTGGGAGTTAGGTGGTCTGGATTCAAGTCCAACCATTACAATGAACTCTTTACTCTTGCCATCTTAATGCAATCACTTTTCCTCTCCAGGGGTTCTCTGTTTTCTCTCAACCACATACCCTATACATACTTATTTTCACCCATGTTCATCATGCTCAGACCTACCATGGGTGCACCTCTATGTCCAAAGAAGGTTGGCTTGGGCCCCAAATTCTCCTTCTCCTGAATGCAGGGAGAATTAATCCCCAGTGGCATCAAATAGAGACATAAAAGGATCAGAAGAAAGGGTAATCCAACAGCCACTTGTAGACCTGAAAAATTTGGAAGGAAGGGTAAGTAGGGGAAAAAAGATAAAGAGGGATGGAAAATCATCCCAAGCAGAGCAGCAGTCTGAGTAAACCCCTAGTCCGTGGGTTTCATTGACTATGTACTGGCTAATTTACTTTCTATTTCTGTGACGTTTCTACTTACTTTCAGGAATTTGGATATAAAAGTATAGAACTGTACAAATATAATGTATAATATACTGAGGCAACTTTATTGGAACTAGAAATTGACAGAGGACTCAACTGTACAGGGGACAGATGAGGAAGGAAAGGAAGGAGAAGGAATGTTAAGGAGCAGCTTCTCAGGAGGAGGAGGAGCTTTGCTGATTCTAAGAAAGCCCCAGGGCACATAAAGATCATCCTAAAATATTTGTATTTATTTAAGGCAGTATAGGATAGTGGAAAGGGCACTAATAGACAGAAATCTGCGTTTAAAGCCGAGTTCTGCCACTTCCTAATTGTGTGACTAAGGACAACTTACTTAACCTTTCTGAATCTTCATTTTCTTCTGCAAAATGGGGCTGTCTTGCTGTTTATGCCAACCTTACAGAGTTGTTATGACAGTGTTGACTCATAATAGTTTCTCTATAAATATTAGTGATTTGCTTCTCTCGTTCCTTCCCTCCCTCCGTATCCCCCTGCTCTCATGCACACGCACACATTCACATACAGAGCCTGTACACAAGGCCTGTGATGACCAGCCATTCTCCAAGACTTACTGTTTTAGACCTCTGATAATTTTACCCATTTGTACATTTTTATGTTACCACCTACGCTTTAGTGACTTTCAAATTTCAGTCTCCAGCTCTAACCTCTTAACCTTGTGATTACATTACATTTCTTGAGTCTTTTTTTCTCAGAATGTGTCATCCTGTATCTTCTCATTCTAACTAAAATTCAGAAAGTGAAAAAGAAAAGAGTTCATTATTGTCCCCTTTAAGCCTTTGCCCCAGAAATACTTTCTAAAATTTACCCTCTACACAAAAGCATATATATATCTATATAAACACACAACGGCATCACTATCTATGCAGTCTTTCTCTTGCCTGCATTCCCCCACAGGTCAGAAAGCAAATACCCCTTATTTAACCAAGAGTAAAAAGGAGACCCAGAGAGAAGGTCCTATTGGTTTATCTATAAGAGTGGTGAAAGATAATACCATTCTCAAAACAGTTTAGTGTACAGATCCAGTTCTTTTGATTCCATTACATTGGAACAAAGAATGGAGAGGAAACCAGTGACAGAGACAGACATTTAACCTTCTGCTCTAAGTCCTCAGGTATGACATGGTCCCACAGGGGACTGCTTTGAGTTACTTGGATGTAACCAGAAATCCCTGACCTAATATTAGTTGAAACTACTAATATTTGAATATAAATGGAAAGAACTGTGACTTGTACCAGCACTCTGGTCAAGTCAAATTAAAATGGTCTCTACTGTGTCTCCTACCAGCCATCTTCAGACAGTCAATGTATAATAAGGTAGAGAAATATCTTATTTTTTCCAAAAGAAGAATCCCTTTTTAGAAGAAGTTCTGTTTGGCCACAGAAATACTATGACAGGCCATGTGAGGTAGTGGGTAAGGGCACAGGAACATGCCTGAATAACAAACTAAATGAATTTCAACAAGGCATGCGGCAGCTAGTTTCCAAGCTTCTCTTTTCCTGAGTGGAGTATGCAAGCCAAAGCCAGAGCTGAAGACAATAGGCAAGGTTCTGCCCTATGTGACATACCTTCTCTTTCCAAACGCGCCACATAGAAGGCTACAGGCCAGGAAAGGATAATCATCACAGTTACGCTGAACAGGTGAATGTAGGGAGAAAAGATCTGTGAGAAAGCCAAAAGTCAGGCTGGGCACATCTAGACAGCTAGTGCTAGAACTATAGGATGATGCTTACCTGCAGTGACAGTCCAGCTACCTGCCACCTTTCTTTCCAGAATTTGCATATAATGAACAGTAAAATGACACACAGAAGAATTACTAGCAGAATCAGGATCTAGGGAAACAGAAAAAAATCTCCTGACTTCAAGCACTAGGCTTGGATCAGAACTGTTCTTAGGAATCATACGTGTGTCTTCACAATGTCAGGGACCTTATCTGCTTCCTCATTCTTTTAATCTCACCATCCTGCAAATCTCCAATATTAGATGGAACCAATCATTCACGTTCTTTGCTTCTAAGTCTTTGCTGTACAGCATGGCTGGAAAAAATTACACGGCTAATTTACCATTACTAATTTACTATCTCCAGCCTCAGCTGGGTCCTCAACATTGCTTAGTATCTCTTACTCAATTTCAACAGTTGCCGTTACAAATCTTCACCATTTCTTTAGACCTCAATTGTATTCTCAGTACAATTATAAGTAAATAATATTTTGTAATTGCCTTTTCAATGTGTTTTCCCCAACAATCAGTTTCATGAGGTCAAGGATAATATTGGTATTGTTTATGATTACATCCTCAGTGTCCTGCAGAATGTCTGGCACATAGTAAGCATCCAATAAGTGTTTGTTAAACAGATGAAAAATCTGCCTGCCAGAACACTGTATACTTTGTAGAGAAAGAACACTGAGGCCAAGAAGACCTAATTTTCTTAACTTTCTCCCTTTCAAATGTATAGTTTTCCTACATCTGTGCTGCCCTCTAGACAGTACTTAGCTCTCTCCTTTCCATAATCTTTACATCTAAAATAACTGAATCCATAATTAAGTCTCTCACAACTCTTTGCTGACTTCAATGATAAATTCTAAAACATTTTAGGAGGAAATCTTTCCAATCTTTAACAAACTCTTTCAGATAACAGAAAAAGAGAGAATACTTTCTAACATCTTATGAAGCCAACAAAACATTAACCCAAATTTATCAAGGACATTATAAGAACAGAAAAGTATAGGCCAATTTCTCTTACGTACATAGATGCAAAAATGTTAAACAACCTATTAGGAAACTAAATGCATCACAACACAAAGGTTGAATTCCCAGACTCATAAGAATCTCAGATCTCAGATCTTACCCAACACCAAACTTCACCATGGAATTAAAGGATATAGGCAATCACAGGGAACAGATAAAAGGTTTTCCATTGGTTGGGAGTGGCAGCTCACACCTATGATCCCAGCACTTTGGGAGGCTGAGGTGGGCAGATTACCTGAGGCCAGGAGTTCGAGACAAGCCTGACCAACACAGTGAAACCCCGTCTCTACTAACAATACAAAAATTAGCCAGGCATGGTGGCCTACACCTCTAGTTCCAGCTACTCAGGAAGTTGAGATGGGAGAATCGCTTGAATCCAGGAGGCGGAGGTTGCAGTGAGCCGAGATGATGCCATTGCCCTCCAGCCTGGACAAGAAAGTAAGACTGCCTCAAAAAAATAAAAATAAAAAATTTTGAATGGATATGATCATGTCAAATGCAGCTACTTATATAGGGTCTTTCCTCTCCTGTATTAGTATACATACTGGTTTTAGACTTAAAATGTAAGGTATGTCTTCAGCAAATTATGAAGAAACATTGCTTCACAGGAGTCATTTTGGTTATGGAGTATCATTATTTTACACTCCATTAATTATATAACTCTAGCCAGCCATGTCTTCCACCACACAAACCTATATATTCCAGGTTTGTTTACAATAAAACCAACCTGGATATATCCAGGTGTATCCTGCTCAAAATTTTTGCTGATAAGGAGTTGACAAATACCTTTAGTGTGTTTACCAAGAGGTCAGGTTATTAGCATGTTTACAAGGAGTTTGTGTTGATGCCATTTGATTCTTTTCTTCCTAGATTTATTTTGAGTACAATAAAACTGAAACTCCAAGCCCCACAAAACTCCCTTGCCAATAAAATCGGTCTCTGCTCACAAATCTGATAAGCTTTGTCCTTCCTGGTTTGAAGACCTGAAGACTCAACCAAGGTAGTTGACTTCCAAGGGAATGCCAACTCTTAATAATCCCCTTGCACTTCTCATTGCCTTCAGACTTTGTGAATAGACCCCAGAATGCCTCAGAAGATGAAGGCTTAGAAAAGAAGATTCTGTTAACCAATTCTGTTAACAGCAAAAATCCTGTTGAATATGTGTGAGAATGAATTCTAAGGGTATTAGATAAGAAAAAGAGAACATAATTTTAGACCAGACTAAATTTATTGATATGGGTGTACTTACCAGAGATTCTGGATTTAATATCCTAGAATCCAGGTATTAAGCAATTCAAAGAGGTTCTAATTGTTTGGTTATCTGAAGCCTAGGCTCATTGGTAGCCTATGCTCAATGAAATTGGGATGCCAGTAATTTCTTGGTATAATATAGAAGAATTAATAAAAGATTTATTAAGAAAAGGTACTAGAATGGTATCACCTATGATCTGTTATCCTACTCCCTATATCGGGTTCTTTGGGAGGTCTCAGAAGACACTGGTGAGGAAAGAGTCAGCATCCTTGAAAAACACTGTGGTGGCCATCCTCTATGCCTGAAAAAAGGTGAGAGATGCTGATACTCAAGCAGGCTTCCTGATTTCAAAGGGGATGATGCGCTTCTGCTGTGGCAGAGGCCAAGTAGCAGTAGTTAACTGGCACAGGCAACATAAGCACAGATAGTTTTTATAACAGACACAAGCCTGGAATGGTAATCAGAATGTTTTCACTCATAGGTATTCTTGATATTGGTTAATTTGTCAAGGCATCCCAACTCCAAAATAGATGTTGCTATCAATAAGGCCTATTTGTTCAATTTTCAAATCTATATTCTTTCCCTAGAAGATCTCATGGCTTCGAGTTCCATTTATCCTAATAACTCTAAATTTATATTTCTAGTTCATGCTTCGCATTTGAGTAAGAGGATACTGATATGGTTTGGACCTGTGTCTCCTCCAAATCTCATGTTGAAATGTGACCACCAATACTGGAGGTGTGCATAGTGGGAGGTGTTTGGATCATGGGGACAGCTTCCCTCATGAATAGCTTGGTGCTGTCCTTGTAGTAATGAGTGGGTTCTCATTCTGTGAGTTCACATGAGATCTGGTTGTTTAAAAGGGCCTGGTACCTCCTCCTTCTCTCTCTTGCTCCCTCTCTTGCCATGTGATAGGCTGGCTCCCCCTTTGCCTTCCACCATGATCATATGCTTCCTGAGGTCCTCACCAGGACCAGATGCCCATACTATGCTTCCTTTACAGCCTGCAGAACCATGAGCCAAGATAGACCTCTTTTCTTTATAAATTACCCAGTCTCAGGTATTCCTTTATTAGCAATGCAGATGGACTAATTCAAGACTTAAGGGTACCACTCAAGAGTATGGAATGTTTCTGGACTTGGGGAAATACAAGCAATGGTATCAACACTATGCCTGGTGTTCTCCCTCATCTTTGGGAGCAAAAAAGTTGATCTAATGGAAGCAGAGAATAGAATGATAGTTACCAAGGGCTGGGAAGGGTGGGTCAGAGTGGAAGAAATGAAGAGAGTTTGGTTAATGAGAACATACAGTTAGAAAGAATAAGTTCTAGTGTTTGATAGTACAGTAAAGTGACTACAGTTAGCAATAATTTATAATATAAAATAGCTCCAAAATAGTTCAAAAAATAGTTTCAAAATAGCTGGGAGAGTTGAAGTGTTCCTAACATGAAAAAATGATAAATGCCTGAGATGATGGATATCCTAAATACTCTGATTTGAGCACGTATCAAAATATTACATGGATCCCACAAATATGTCCAATTACTATGTATCAATTTTTAAAAACTGTGCCTGAAAAAGTCTATAGAAAAGCAAGAGGCTGTCACTGAGGCTGCTCAAGCCCAGGGGAGAACAAAACAAGGATGCTATATCAGAAATATGCTGCCTGTCTGCAGATGATGGGGCAAAGCTGACTGTCCTCTGGGGACCAGATATGAACCTCGTGAAAGAAATCATGTTGGTGTTATTTTAAAGACAGCCAAACCCAAGAGAGGGTCAAAAGGATTTCAGAAAAGAAATTTCAGGGAGCTATAGGAAGACAGGCATTGACTCCACCAAGAAAGTTACAGTCAAGGTTCTCAGCAGGATTTCTGAAAATACACACAGAAAAAGTGCAGGGTGAAAGAGGCAACTGTACATTTACCTAGAAATCAACCCCTGATTCCCTTCCTCCCTTTCCTTGTGAGACTGTGCTCTTTTCTCCATCTCCTCTTCCCCTGGACTCCACTCAGGTGGAAAAAAGGTAAAAGGACCACCATGCCCTCTCTACCGCTATGGGCTTCAGGCTTCGATCAGGCCCGAATATGGGAGGGGAAACATTTTAAGGTTAATAAAGTTGGAGCTTAGGTTATTACAATGAACTGAAACTTTTAATCACTGAAATGCGAGTATTCTTGTGACTAAAAAGTACGGGGAAATTAAGAAATTAATGGAATTTGCCTAAGATTTTACTGGAATGAGAAGAACAGGGCTACAGACTGAGTTTAACATGAAGTAGTGAGAACAAATAAAGTATGGGTTCAGCTCCTTCCATAAATCAGTTGCAACAGTTAGAAATTTAATTATTTCAGTTATAATGGTGTAAGCAAATCTCTTCACTCCAAGGAGAACAATAACAGAGAGTGTAACCCTGTACACAACAATGAGTATCAAGGAGCATGCTCAGTCCTGGTCTAAGGTTTAGTCCTGGTCTAAGGTTTCCTATGCAGACTCAGATGTCCTACCTTATGACACAAGTGCAGATATAGTTCAATCCCTTCCCAAAGCAACAAAAATCCAAGTAACTGTAAAAGAAAAGTAGAAAAAGAGAGTTATTTTGAAATCACCAAGTTGCTACCCAAAGCACTGTTCCTATAGTTCCAAATTCCTTTCACAGTCTGGTATTACACTCACTTGTTGCTATACCTGATTTCACAACAATTACCACACTGATGATCTTCCTGAGTTATTGCCCATTTCTTTTCCCTGTGAGGAACCTTATTCCTGTTATTCCTTGGACTCCCTTGTAAGAGAACAAAGGTCAGGAGGCAGCTCTTCCAAGGGCTCTTGTTTTGGGGAACCAGGGCTGTTGCTACAACTGTTAACCACTGTTGTTAACACGTATAGATTCAATAAATCTTGGATTTTAATCTAAATCTAGCCAGTCACCAAGTCACTGTGAAGATGGAAACTGAAAACTGGAGTCCTCAGATGCCTAGTACATTAATGATAATTTGATATATAAGGCACTTACCTCTTTATCAAAATAATTTCATGTAGATTTCATTTGTTCTTTACTTAGGCCTATATTATACCAGTTTATTAAATATTATTATCTCATTTGAAAAAAATGAAACAGGTCAGAAGAGTTACATGATTTGGCCAAGGTTACATAGTAATCTAAAGATAGAGCTAGAAATAGAATCCAGGTCTCCCTCCTTTTTCACTATTGTTGCCATTGTATGCATCCAAAAAGAGGTAGGGTAGAGTAGAAAGTTCGTTAAAATATGTTGCTTTACTGGACACTAGAATTCACTCCAACTTTAGAACCTAACTATACCATTTCATGTTTATTGTGCATAAAAATGGTACAATTCATTGGTCAGAATTTGGCCTAGAGCACATCCTTCCTCTGCATTTTCCCCATTAAAAAGAAAAGTTTCTAATTGGTCTCTCTGCCTATAGCCACCCTCCAAACCACAATATCGAGAATAATTTTCCTAAGAAAACTGATTTATATCAAATGTCTTAGCCTTTTTTTCCAGGCCTTCCAAATCTCACAAAACTATCTTTTCATCCATGTTTTCCCATTATTCTTCATTATGCCCTAAATACTAACAGAACTGACCTTTCCCTCTCAGCAAGACATCCTATATTTTGTCTTGCTGATATAGTCATGAAGCTCCCTCAGCCCAAAATATTCTTCCTCATTACCATATCTATATGTCCAAATCTAACATCCCTTCAAGATCCCACTCCAATAACAAGGAATGTAATTTATATCTCATAGCTACCTCTATGAAGTGCAGTGCATGTAAACAGAAACTGCTTAGTTTTTATTGATCTCTCTATACTCAGCACTTCTCACAACGTTCTGCTCATATAATAATAAGTTTTGTTGAAAGAAAAAGTTCATGCAAATAGCAATAGATTTGGGGGCTAGGTTCTTCTGTATCAGACAAGAATTCCATAGAGAAAGGAATGGTGAAATCAGAGAAAGTCATCTGCCCTATGTATAAATGGGCACTGTAAAACTCTAACTGTCTAAAGTTATCATTCCATTTCCACAAACTTTTCTCTTGCCTGGCATAAATTTCTCACACTATATGATACTACTATGTCAGGCAACAGAAGCAAGGTCACATTACTGCCAAAAGGCTTTTGCTAAAATGTACTTTACATCTGGGCTAGGTGACTACATTTGTACATTAGAACAGGTTTAACAAACTAGCAAATTTTTATAAGGCCCAGAAAGACTGATTTTCAGAAGATGGGACATGAGACAAGTAAAGATACTGCTGATGTAAAGCTATGGGCATCTAAAGTGACAATACTGAGTGAACCATAGGATAGGCAGGCTATGAAATAAGAAAACAGAAAAAAAAGATGTTCTGTTACTCTTTCAAAGGGCCAAATTGGCACGACACATCCTCTAACAGAATAGGCTTTTCTTCCATGTCCTATTTCTTGTGACTAAAATTCAACTAGCTAATGTAAACCCCAATTCTAAGACAAGAGTGATCTTAGGTTCTAAAAGTCCCAGCACCAACTGGATACTATACCATGGGCAGGAGCACCTCATCAGGCTACTCAGGAAGGAAGTGGGAGAAATCAGAAGCATTACTCACCAACAGTAATGAAGAGTAGGCAGTCAGGATCCCAGCTAAACTCAGAATAAAAATAGACCAGAAAAACCAGTAGCCTGTTCCTAGAAAAGTGACCCTGAAAAAAAAATATGTTTCAGTTCTTAAAATACTACAGAAATCAGTAGCATCTGTGTTAAGGATGGGACAAAACCAGACTAGATGAGGCATAAGAAAATGGAGAGATAAAAAGAGAAGCAGTTTGTGAACAGCAGCTTTTGCGGATACTTATTTGAGGAGTTTTAAAGTTGTGTCCTGTAGGCAATTGGGAATGTTCATGGGGTCTGTAAACACAGTAGGATATTAAGTTATTTAGAATACATATTTAAAAATTATGTCATCTTTTAAAAAATAATATAATACAGAAATTTTGGAATACCAAAAGAGAAACAAATCATCCCATTAAATTGGCTGCCTTAACAAAACTAATACTTTACACTGTTGCAGGCTCCTTGTCCATGTGCCTATGCATTTTTGGACATAATTGCAATCACAGTCACCATATTAATCGCTCTATTCTGTGTGAGAGATATAGGCCCTTAAAAAAAAGCCCAATTTGAGACAGTGTCTAGGCTCCCTCCTTGCTGGGCAGGGCAGCCCTGATAAAAAGGCAGCAGCACAATGGAAACTCATAAATAAAGCCCTAACTGCCCGGGAGAGAGCACCTGGGGAAAAAAGGGGGGAGATATGAGTTCTGCTACAGCAGACTTAAATGTACCTGCCCAGCAGCTCTGAATGAACAACGGAGCTCACTGCTCAGCACTTGAGCTCCTATAAAGGACAGACTGTCTCCTCAAGCAGCTCCCTGACCCCCATATATCCAAAGAGTCACCTCATAAAGGAGAGCTCAGACTGACATTTGATAGGTTTCCTGGGACAAAGACAGCAGAAGAAGAAACTGGCAGCAACCCTTACTGTTCTGCAGTCGCTGCAGATGATACCCAGGCAAGCAAGGCCTGGAGTAGACCTCAGCAGCCCTACAGCAGAGGGTCCAGACTGTTAGAAGGAAAACTAAGAAACAGAAGGAATATAACTTCATCATCAACAAACTGGACGTCCACTCAGAGGCCCAATCAGAAAGTCAACAACTACAAAGATGACAGGTGGATAAATCCACAAATATGGGAAGAAACCAGCGCAAAAAGGATGAAAACACCCGAAACCAGAACACCTCTCCTATAAGGGATCACAGCTCCTCACCAGCAAGGGAACAAGGCTGGATGGAGAATGAGTGTGATGAACTGACAGAATCAGGCTTCAGAAGGTAGGTAATAAGAAACTTCTGTGAGCTAAAAGAACATGTTCTAACCCAATGCAAAGAAACTAAGAAACTTGAAAAAAGATTTGATGAAACGCTAACGAGAATAGATAACTTAGAGAGGAATGTAAGTGAATTGATGGAGCTGAAAAATACAACATGAAAACTTCGCGAAGCATGCACAAGTTTCAACAGCTGAATTGACCAAGCAGAAGAAAGGATATCAGAGGTTGAAGATCAACTCAACGAAATAAAACAAGAAGGCAAGATTAGAGAAAAAAAAGGGTAAAAAGGAATGAACAAAGTCTCCAAGAAATATGGGACTATGTGAAAAGACCTAATCTACATTTGATAGGTGTACCTGAATGTGATGGAGAGAATTAATCCAAGCTGGAAAATAATCTTCAGGATATCATCCAGGAAAACTTCCCCAACCTAGAAAAGCAGGCCAATATTCAAGTCCAGGAAATACAGAGAACCCCACAAAGATATTTCTCAAGAAGAGCAACCCCAAGGCACATAAACGTCAGATTCGCCAGGGTTGAAATGAAGGAGAAAATGCTAAGGGCAGCCAGAGAGAAAGGTCGGGTTACCCACAAAGGGAAGCCCAACAGACTCACAGCAGATCTCTCAGCAGAAACCCTACAGGCCAGAAGACATTGGTGGCCAATATTCAACATCCTTAAAGAAAAGAACTTTCAACCCAGAATTTCATATCCACCCAAACTAAGCTTTATAAGTGAAGGAAAAATAAAATCCTTTGTGAACAAGCAAGTACTCAGAGATTTCATCACCACCAGGCCTGCTTTACAAGAGCTCCAGAAAGAGGCACTAAGCAGAGAAAGGAACAACCAGTACCAGCCACTCCAGAAACATACCAAATGGTAAAGAGCATCAATACAATGAAGAAACCGCATCAACTAACAGGCAAAACAGCCAGCTAGCATCAAAATGGCAGGATCGAATTCACACATAACAATATCAACCCTAAATGTAAATGGGCTAAATGCCCCAATCAAAAGACACAGACTGGCAAATTGGATAAAAAGCAAAAACCCATCGGTGTGCTGTATCCAGGAAACCCATCTCACATGCAAGGATACACAAAGGTTCAAAATAAAGGAATGGAGGAAGATTTACCAAGCAAATGGAGAGTAAAAAAAAAAAAAGCGGGAGTTGCAATCCTAGTCTCTGATAAAATAGACTTTAAACCAACAAAGATCAAAAGAGACAAAGAAGGACATTACATAATGGTAAAAGGATCAATGCAACAAGAAGAGCTAACGATCCTAAATATATACATGCCCAATACAGGAGCACCCAGATACATAAGGCAAGTTCTTAATGATTTACAAAAATACTTAGACTCCCACACAATAAAAGTGGGAGACTTTAACACCCCATTGTCAACATTAGACAAATCGACGAGACAGAAAATTAACAAGGATATCCAGGACTTGAACTCAGACCTGGACCAAGCAAACCTAGTAGACATTTACAGAACTCTCCACCCCAAATCCACAGAATATACATTCTTCTCAGCACCACATCACACTTACAGGTATTGATCGACTTACCACCTGTGCAACTTACGACCATTCGACTTTACGACCACAATTGCTAGCCACAAATGCTCCGCATCTGGCAGTGCAAACATTGCCCAGCTGGGCATACGACAGTGCGGACCAGCTTCTGGCAGCACTACCATCCCCGCGTGCACCATTTCAACTGTACATATAGCCTACTCAACTTACAACCAAATCGTGTTATGACCGGTCCGTGGTCCCGACCGTGGTCGTCAGTCGAGCACTAGCTGTAATCTAAAATTGACCACATAATTGGAAGTAAATCACTCCTCAGCAAATGCAAAAGAACGGAAATCATAACCAACAGTCTCTCAGACCACAATGCAATCAAGTTAGAACTCAGAATTCGGAAACTAACTCAGAACCACACAGCTTCATGGAAACTGAACTGGCTCTTGAATGTTGACTGGATAAACAATGAAATGAAGGCAGAAATAAAGATGTTCTTCAAAACCAACGAGAATGAAAACACAACATACTAGAATCTCTGGGACACATTTAAAGCAGTCTCTAGAGGAAAATATACAGCAATAAAGTGCCCACATAAGAAGCAAGGAGAGATCTAAAATTGACACCCTATTGACAAAATTGAAACAGCAAGAGGAGCAAGATCAAAAAACTCAAAACCTTGCAGAAAACAAGAAATAACTAAGATCAGAGCAGAACTGAAGGAGATAGAGACACAAAAAAACCCTTCAAAAAATCAATAAATCCAGGAGCCGGTTTTTTGAAAAGATCAACAAAATAGACCACTAGCCAGATTAATAAAAAAGAAAAGAGAGAATAATCAAATCGATGCAATTAAAAAAGATAAAGGGGATATCACCACAGATTCCACAGAAATTCAAACCATCATCAGAGATTATTACAAACAACTCTATGCACATAAACTAGTAAACCTGGAAGAAATGGATAAATTCCTGGATACTTGCATTCTCCCAAGCCTAAACTGGGAAGAAGTCAAAACCCTGAATAGACCAATAACCAGGTCTGAAGTTGAGGCAGCAATTAAGAGCCTACCACCCCAAAAAAGCCCAGGTCCAGATGGGTTTACAGCCAAATTCTACCAGACATACAAAGAGAAGCTGGTACCATTCCTTCTGAAACTATTCCAAATAATCCAAAAAGAGGGAATCCTTCCCAAATCATGTTATGAGACCACCATCATCCTGCCAAAACCTGGCAGAGACTCAGCAAGAAAAGAAAACTTCAGGCCAATATCCATGATGAACATAGATGCAAAAATCTTCAATAAAATGCTGGCAAGCTGATTGCAACAGCACATCAAAAAGCTTATCCACCATGATTAAGTAGGATTCATCCTAGGGATGCAAGGCTGGCTCAACATACACAAGTCTATAAATGTAATTCATCACATAAACAGAACCAAAGACAAAAACACTTGATTATCTCAATAGATGCAGAGAAGGCCTTTGAAAAAATTCAACAGCACTTTATGCTAAAAACCCTCAATAAAATAGGTATTGACGGAACGTACCTCAAAATAATAAAAGCTATTTATGACAAACCAACAGCCAATATCATACTGAATGGGCAAAAACTGGAAGCATTCCCTTTGAAATCTGGCAGCAGACAAGGATGCCCTCTCTCACCACTCCTATTCAATATAGTATTGGAAGTTCTAGCCAGAGCAATGAGGCAAGAAAAAGAAATAAAGGGTATTCAAATAGGAAAGGAGGAAGTCAAATTGTCTCTATTTGCAGACGACATGATTGTATATCTAGAAGACCCCATTATCTCAGCCCCAAATCTCCTGAAACTGATAAGCAAGTTCAGCAAAGTCTCAGGATACAAAATCAATGTGCAAAAATCACAAGCATTCCTATACACCAATAACAGACTTAAAGAGAGCCTAATCAAGAACAAACTGCCATTCACAATTGCTACAAAGAGAATAAAATACCTAGGAATATAACTAACAAAGAATGTAAAGGACCTCTTCAAGGAGAACTACAAGCCACTGCTCAACAAAATAAGAGAGGACAAAAACAGATGGAGAAACATTCCATGTTCATGGTTAGGAAGAATCAATACTGTGAAAATGGCCATACTCCCCTAAGTAATTTACAGATTCAACGCTATCCCCATCAAGCTACCAATGACCTTCTTCACAAAAGTGGAAAAAAGCACCTTAAACTTCATATGGAACCAAAAGAGAGCCCGCATAGCCAAGTCAATTCTAAGCAAAAAGAACAAAGCAGGAGCCATCACACT